TTAAAAAGTCATCTTTCTCTGGTTATAGATTAGAGATACCTTATTTAAGTTTCTCTTGCTAAGCCAATGGTGACACACACACACACACACACACACTCTCTCTCTCTCTCTCTCTCTCTCACACACACACACATTCACTGTATGGCTTACCTATATCCATAGAGGTTAGGTGGCTCAGCTGTTGAGTTAGCAAGCTTGGGTTTGAGATCTCACCCTACTACTTGGTACTGGGGGCCTCACAAAAAATATCACCTAACTCCGTGACTCAGTTTCCTTCTCTGAAATCCTTGCCTTCCAACTTGATCACCAGTCAAAAAATTCCTTTATTTTTGAAGTTCTGGATTATTTTAACGTTCTTCCTCGAGAAAATTATTCCTGTTTTCTGATTCTTTAATACTTTTAATTATCATTGCTTCATCATGTGTTTATAAAGATTGAGTTAATATCTGAAATGCACTTAGTACAGTGTCTGTAAATCCCTTGTTTTGTTATTGTTATATCCTATGTAAATCCCTTGTTTTGTTATTGTTATATTCTCTTTGTACAGGATCATTTTATATCAATGAGGCACATTTAAAAGCATTGTTGGAGATTTTCTTTATCAGGGCAGTTTGGAATGTTTCTCTAATTTCTTTCTCTCTCTAATTTTGGAGACACTGCTATCTATGAGAAATAGAAACAAATATAAAATATAATCTGTTCAGGAAAGGATGTACTTAAGTAGTTTGAAGTAAGAACACGAGCTTATATTACCATCTAGAAAGTTTTTTAGACTCTAGTCCAAACTCTTATTCATTCCACAGTTCATAGCTATCCCTGGACATTGGGGACACAAAAGAGTCCTTGTCTCACTCTCTGGTAAGATTGAATTAGTCTAATAGTTAAATTAGGGGAGGAAATGTGGCCAATTAAATCCCACCACCACCATTACCTCCCCCCAAAAAGTGATTCCAAGTAGAAAATTGCTTGTATGAAGTGATATTGGTGAATTTTATGGATAAATTATTAGTTTGGAAAACCACTTGGCTTTAAGTCATAAAAGAATGATTCATTTGTTTTTCTTTTAATTTTGGTTCTCTTGTTCTTTCTTCATTTAACAATATTTCTGAGCTCTTACTTTGTACCAAATACTTTATCAGAAATTAGAGATATCAAGTTGAGCAAAACAGACAAGACTTCTGCCCTCATGGGGCTTATATTCCAGTAGGATGAGACAAACGATAAAAGTTTTAATAAATGGGGGCACCTGGGTGGCTCAGTGGTTAAGTGTCTGCTTTCGGCTCGGGTCATGATCCTAGGGTCCTGGGAGCCCCGCATCGGGATCCCTCCTCAGCGGGAAGCCTGCTTCTCCCTCTCCCACTCCCCCTGCTTGTGTTCCCTCTCTCTCTGTGTCTCTCTCTGTCAAATAAATAAATAAAATCTTTTAAAAAAAAAGTTTTAATAAATGACTTAGTTATAGGCAGTACAATTGTTGAGTTAAATAAAGAGGGAGATGTGATGGAGAACACATGAAATGCTGATGGGGACTTCCTGAAATAGGAGAGTCTGAAGAAAGCCCATCTTAAGCCTGAAACTTAAACAGAATAAGAATGGACCGGTCATTTGAAAATCTGCAGAAAGAACATTTCAGGCTGTAGGTAGAGCAAGAGCAGAGGACCTTGAAGGTAGGGATGGTCTTGAAATGTAAGAGCAGAGGTCCTAGAATGTGAGCAGACCTCAGAACCACCCAGAGGGCTTGTCACAACTCAGATTCCTGAGACCTGCCCACAGCCAGTAGGTCTGGGCGGAGCCTGAAAAGGCACATTTGTCAGGAGCTCCCAGGTGATGCAGGTGCTGATGACTGGGGACCCACCCTGTGAGCACCACTGGGGTAGGGAGGGAGTGAAAGGATGAAGGGATGACTGGAGCACTGTGAGCTGGGGGCCAATAGTGGGAAGTGAGCTGGAGGAGGGGGCAGTGGCCCTAGGATTTCAGCCTCAATGGCAAGTGCAAGTTTAGTCTCAGGTCAATGAGGAGTCATTGCAGGTTCTTTCAGCCCTCCCTCACTGCAACTGCTCTTGTTCTGAGGTGATTATAACGTAGTCTTTGTAGTCTTTGAGGATTATCTGATTCTGCATGGCACTCGCCCCCTAATGCATGTGCAACAAATTCCGTGGAATTTGAAAATAACCTGTAATTCCCTCTGTTTTAGAGTCCTGACCAACCTTTGATGAATAGGACAGATCACTCACTTTGCACAGCACGGATAGTCACCCATGCTCAGGTTTCGACAGTAGGAGACATAGGCAGATCAAGGGGCTGCAGTTCAGATCAGCTCAACATTGACTGAAACACGTTCTCTGTATGTGGCACTGTACACTTAACCCAGCAAGGATATAGTCAAAGCATATTATGATCTTTAGCAGCAGGCAGCATTCAATCTTTTGGGGACAAATACTAAAAAAACATATGAAACAATTAGAGGATTATATAAGCAGAGGACAGCACAGTGTGTAATAAAGTATTAAATTGAGTATTATCATATGTAAATGTTAATGATGCAGATAATAAGTGCCATAGCCACTAAGAAGTGGGAGAATTGTTCGAAGTTACTAGGGAATGTTTTATACCAGGGAGGCCTTCAAGCCGGTCCTTGGAAAATGGTGAACATTTGGCTAGTTAGAGGGGAAGGGAAAAACATGGAAAAGCCTTTGTCTTCAGATTCAATCAACATTCAAGGAATTACTGTGTTTTCCCAAAGTTTTTGCTGTTCTGCCTTTCAAAGGAAAGCCTTCCATGTGTTTCTGATTCTTGAGTACAATTGAATTACTAGTCCATTGTCTGGTAAGAGCTGTTTGGTCAGGGAGCCCTGTGGACTTCTCAGAAACTTTTATCCTTTGAGAGAAGCTGTCCTGATTTGCCATTGTTAATGAAAATTGCACTACACAATGCTCAAGTTTAAGACCTACTGAGAACATGACCATGAACCTCATTTCATCTCCACATGGGGGAACCACACGGCATATAGAAGCTGCAGAGACCCAGCACCAGTGCTGCCCCCCGGTGGTAGTAATTGTCTCGAACTTCCTTATGTCCTATCCTAATAGCTTTGTATTAGGAGTGACGGTCTGTATTGCTTCTACCCCTCATGAATAAATACAAAATGTCTCGCCACCCAGAAGACAAACCCTTTGTAGTCATGTATCTCTTTTGAACATGCATCCTTAGGACTCTGCATGCATGCATTTCAATATTCTGTGCCTATGTGAGGCTTTGTTTTGGAAACGGTGAAATATGCACTTATTGCAATGGATATATTTTTACCCTGTCATGTGCTCTTTTGCATCAGATCCTGAGTAATATATCTGACGAGTCAAAGGGCTCGCCTCCTTTGCTGACTCTCTTGGGAGTTACCCTGAATATTAAGATATTTCCTGTTAGCTCAGATAATTTCAAAGGTGCAGGTTTATCTTTAATAAAGATAAGGTTAAGGCAGAAAATAGAAATGAAGAAGAGCGAACGGTTAAAGAGAGAACCCAGGACGACCTAAGAGAGATTTTAATGACAATCTGTAAGGTAGAGATCACAAAACTTTATCAATTGCTTACTCATCTCCAGAAAAGATTGTGAGAATGCCCCCCAAATAAATGTAATTATTTATATGTCAGATACGAGTACTGATGTACTTATATATTAGTTGTTTATGAAAGACAAACAAAGAAAAAAATTTTGGATGAATGTAATTTCTAATATTTTCTTCCTATCCCTCAAATAATCCTCTTTTGCATCCTCTGGCATATGGACGCTGCTTTCGAATATACCCTTCTGTAGACCGATAGCACCAGCACATGGTGCAATCTCCTGGTTCTCAAACTTTAGGCTGCATCCCAATTTCCTGGAAGCTCGTGAAAACACACATTTATACCTCTTTCTGAAGTTTCTAATTCCATAGGTCTGGGGCCCCATCATTTGCATTTCTGACAACTTCCCAGGTGATGTCGGTCTGAGAACTAACACTTTAAGAACCACTGATGTAGTTAAGAGCTTGAGTCTCAGAGGTAGTTTACCTAAGTTGGATATCGGAGTCCTTCCGTTACCAAATGTGTGACCTTGGGTAAATTATTTTACTTGTATGAGCTTACTTTGTTTTCCTTTTTCTTTTAATCTGTTAAATGGGTGATCATAATTACTTACCTCTTAGTGTCACTGGAGATCATAATGAGATAATGTAGACAAAGTGCTTAGTACCCAGTACTTACCACCTACAAAACACCAAGACATGTTGGCTGCTATATGCTTCTCTTCCTCTTCCTCTTCATATCATCAAACATCTTTTTAATGTCATAAAGTAAACTTTAGGGACTTTTATGCCTTAAGTCATAAGAATCGTGGGAATAAATTCTTCTGCTTTACCATTATACGTTTAGAAAGACCATATTCCAAATGACGTGACTTTCTAGTTGGATTGTAGAGGTGAGGCTCTTTTGCAAAGTCTGCCTAAGAGAGAACAATGTGTTCAGCCCTCTCCCTTCTGTGTGTAACTATTGATAGTTTGTGGCTAAGTGTGTATTTCTGTAGTCTTTTGTATATACTGCTTCTTGTTGCATGATCTAGAATTGACATTTTTGGCAGTTGTGTTTTTTTTTTAATTTTTTTATTGTTATGTTAATCCCCATACATTACATCATTAGTTTTAGATGTAGTGTTCCACGATTCATTGTTTGTGCATAACACCCAGTGCTCCATGCAGAACGTGCCCTCTTTAATACCCGTCACCAGGCCAACCCATCCTCCCACCCCCTTCCCCTCTGGAACCCTCAGTTTGTTTTTCAGAGTCCATCGTCTCTCATGGTTCGTCTCCCACTCCGATGTCCCCCCCTTCATTCTTCCCGGCAGTTGTGTTTTTGAATGTTTTGGGGCATGGGAGTAGCAAAGTCGAGTGCTTGCTTTGAACTTGTTTGATTGTTAACACTTCTCTCTCTCCTTTTTTCTTCTCTCCCTGTCTTCCTATGAATTACTAGGACCAAGTACCACCTGCCAGGAAGATTCATGTGCCAACCAGGGGGTCTGCATGCAGCAGTGGGAAGGCTTCACTTGCGACTGCTCCATGACGTCATATTCTGGAAACCAGTGCAATGATCGTGAGTACAACCTTTTCCATACTTGGGAGTTTTATCAGTGTTTAGAGGTCTGGAGAAACCTTAAGGGACATTATGTAAAAGGATGGCTCTTCTGAAAGACTTGTAAGCAAATTCCTCCTCCAGAAACTTGGAAAATAAGGGACTGGTGCTCTTAATGGACGAGCAAAGAGACATTTCTTGCTCAACATTACTAGATGTTTTCCCATTTGCTTACTCCCTGTGTTTTTTCTTTAGATTAGATTGCCTGTGGCTGAGAATCAAAAAAAAAAAAACAAAAAACAGTTCAAGCAATATTTTTGTTCTAAGGAGTTCAGCTTTCCATTAGCTAAGTCATCTGGATAACAATTTTGAGACTCTCACATTTGCATTGTCTAGAATTTAGAGGTTATTTAAGGAATGTAACTATTTTCTCAAAATTCTGCGTTTAGAGAACTTCTTAGATCTTCCAAACGATGAAGACATTCAGAGTTTATTATTTTTTCCAACTAGAAATGTTTAAAGCATTCTCAGGGGTTTTTCAAATGTTGGAAATTCCCTCTGGCTAAATTTATTGATATCTATTGGGTTTGTATGTACATGGTCGTTCTGTTTATATATGCATTTCTATTTTGTACATATATTTATATGCATATATCTGCATATTTGGTTCATATTGGAAGAGAGCCAGTTGTTATCTTTGTCCACTAGCAATACTTCTATCAGCTGATTTAATTCTAGAAGACTGGTTTCAGGGAGGTGATTCTAGAGATGATGGTGGAGATACTTCAGTTCTGTTGGAATCTATAACCCGTGTCTCCACTTCCTTGTTGTGTTACTTTCCTAACATGGCTATTTTTAAAGATGAGCCAAAACCTGAATTTTCTGAATACCTCTATTACAAAGAGATTTGTTGAAAGCCCTGACGTAGTGGATCCTGCTGATCTTCTGATTTTCTAAATGGTAGGAGTTTATTTTACAATCTGAACTCGTAGTTAGTTGGCCTCTTTGTTTTATAAAAAGATACATGGTGTTTATCTGAGCAGATACTAAAGTCGCTTTGTGGTTGCCTAAGTGGGAGCAGGCACTGATTACAATGCCGTCTCTATCGTGTTTACTTGGTTTTTCTTGAATCCTTATTTCTCAACTTTTTTTTTTTCATGTGCATAGTTGCCCCTTGTTCTGTTTCTCATTTTTTCCTAGCTTTTTGTCTCTATGTGCTCTGTCAGTCTCTTAAGATCTGTCTGGAGAAACAAGTGGGGATTCTATCAGTGTAGAGAGAAACATCTTTGATTCTCATTGATCTAATGTAAGCAGTGCCTCTAGGTCTGTAACATAAAGGACACATTATCTGCAGAAAGTTTTGGCATCAGGTTGTTCTTTCCAAGTACTTGGTATTATTGAAAGTTTTGTTTCCATATTTATGAGTTGGAAATACTGTTTCACTCTGAAATAGGCGGTTATGGACCCATTCAGAATATCTGGGCAATTGTGCTATATGCTCTTTATTTTCCCTCCACTTTGTCCGCATAGGACTCATTGGGAAATCTTTTTATCCTAAATGGTGGCATAATGCTTCTTTATCCTCTATATCATAAATACAAACCACTCCTGGTAGAAAATGGTCAGGACGAGACTGCACATAGAAAACGCAGAAAGGTAAGTTACTCTAACTACGGTGAATAGCATGGTCTTCAGAAGGTATGTATACATTTTTCTCTCATTGACAAGTTCCTTTTGGCCACCCAGTCCCAGGCATCGTTTTCTGCTAAAAATCAACCAGGATTCTTTCTGGCTTTCTATGATTTTTTTCTGACTTGTCAAGAGCAGATGGTGTCTCAGTCCAGAATGAAGACTGTTGCATTATCTGACTCGAACAATTTATCAATATATAATGAAGTACTAGAATGGATTGGGAAATGTCAACTTTCTTTTGTGACAGTACCATGTCATCCTTCAAAGATGTTTCTGAGATATCCAGGCCTATGTAGTGCATTCTGGGTTTTATTCTGTAAACAATACAGATGAAGGTTTTATGGCAGAAGACCTCTGAGGCCAAGTTGTTAAAAGAATCTACTTGCCTCAACTCCTGTTGGAAAGCAGACCAGGCTCGTGTGATTAGATGGCTATATGGAAATGTGAGCAAGTGCATTTTAATTGCAGAATGTAAGGAATATATAGAGTTCAGATAGATATAACTGTCAAATGAAGATATATGCTTTTAATGAGACCAACTGCGTTTATCAGAATGTTAGGTTGCTTAAAATTGTACACTAGATGCCTCTGAATCCAATGATCAATGTTGAAAGTATCGGGGGAACTTTTTCTTTTGGAATTAGCATGAGAGCCAGTTTGTTCCACCTAAAAAATCAGCCTTACCTCTGCATCATAGATCATAACTTTCTATATCAACCTTGACCTTTAGAGTTGTAATTTGGTACTTTATCTCACAAACATCTTCAAAATTAAGTTACTTATTTTATTTTCTCTGGGCCTATGTTAGCAAATTCTTGGTAGCTTAGCTTGCATCAGGAGATGAGCCTTCACCTTCAGTGTTACCAGCGGATTCAAACAAAGCTCGTGCTTATCGTTGGCAAAGGCCATAGGGAAAATTGCAAAGAAAGGGGAACAGATACCATAAGTGAATAGAAGAGGAAAGATGGTGAAGAAGAAATAATGGACAGAAAAGCAGGGCTGAGTCTTATATGGAAGAACAGAGGCCATTAGTAATTGCTTTGGTAGCATGCCTTCCACAGGTGGCCTGCCTTTGACCTAAATAACAGAAATGGAACATGACGTGATAATTGGCGTGTCAAGGAAATCTGGCCTTTACCTGATTTTTAGGAATAGTGTATTCTAAAGAATGTTGCATCTATCTAAAATACATTGTATTTCTTACAATGCTGTCATAGGAACCTATGGTTGGTGAAAGATTCTATCTAATGGCAACAGATTTTTTGGTGCGGGGCTGGAGGGGAAGGTTTGGATCTCTCATTTTCCATGAGCTATTTCTCAGGATAGCAGATGATCTCAGTTAATGGAAATGAAAAAAAAATCACAATTTCTTACTGCACATCCAAGAATAGAAACTCGTTTAATAGGAAAGTGCTAGGTTTTGATATTTTTCAAAATAAAGGTTTCGGTTCAGTTCATCATGTATAGAAAAGTTACTTATATCTGTGCATGATTTGCAAGTTTCTAAAAAAATGTTGCATTTTTAGGGGTCTCCACATTTTTCCTAGCATTGGTTCCTTCATTCATGACCTTTGATTTTTCTTGCCTGTTTGCCCAGTTGGGTGTTTGCTCGATGATTTTGAGGCGCTGTCACATAGATATCACCTCCATGAGTAGAGTTTATGTTTAGAAACTATATCTCATTTAGTATGAGTAGACCAAACATGGATGGGTTTAACTTTATTCCATCATTTTCTATGAGCGCATGGTGGATTGATGGAGGCAGTGGGGTGAATTTCAGGTTTAGTCTTATAAAGATAGCCATGCAAAGCTGATACAGTGATTGTGAAGGTGTGGCATGTATTCTCCGTGGCTGGTTATCTTGTGTAAGAATGACTCACTTGTATTGGAGAAAAAACAAAAGTCGTCTGATTGGAAGCCCAGGTATAATTGATTTACTAATTGTCTTATGTAGTTTTAAGATAAGATCTACCGTTTCACGTAGTAGCAGATTCACAGGGAGTTTCCTTTAGGTGACTTTTAGGGCTGTTTTGAAACTCTAATGAACAAAGTCATCCCAGAAGTAATTTTGAGTTCATGTAGAATCCAGTAAGATCTATGGAAGGACACACCAGTAACATTCTCCAAAGAAAATCTTCAGTTCTTCTGAAAAATTCTTTTTTTTTTTTTTTAAAGATTTTTATTTATTTGACAGAGAGAGAGACAGCGAGAGCAGGAACACAAGCAGGGGGAGTGGGAGAGGAAGAAGCAGGCTTCCCGCCGAGCAGGGAGCCCGACGTGGGACTCGATCCCAGGACCCTGGGATCATGACCCGAGCCGAAGGCAGACGCTTAACGACTGAGCCACCCAGGCGCCCCTTCTGAAAAATTCTAAACAGGGAGGGCTTACTTCTCAGATGGTGCATACCACCTGAGTGCCAACTTAATGATGGGGCTACATTTTAAGAACAACAAAAGAAAGGGAACCTTACAAAGTTTCTCATAGGGATATTCTTTTTGGATATTGGGTTCCTACTGGTATTTAAAATCAGGACCGAGAGCCTGAGAGATTTCAATATGTTGTAGTCATCACGCCATCAGGCAAACCCAGAATCCCTTTCCTGTGATGTGGGGAGGGCGGCCTATTGTTGAGTTCCTCTCTCCACAACACCTCACAATGTTGCACAAAATCCAACTCACTTGCACGTACCCACACATACACAAAAACATTGTCATTTCTGGGGACTTTGTGAAAATAGCGATTTTAAATACCTTACATCAATCCTTAACCACCATAGTTACCTTTGAGCGTGTTTTGACAATTGTTTTGAGTTGTGTACAATTTTGGGGGTCTCATTATTGCTTCTGTGCCCTAAAGAATTGAATGTGGAACAATGTGTGGCACGTGAGTGCTTAAAACACAGCAAGTCACTGGAATTAGATACCAGGTGTTTACAATGGCTTTGTGGGAAGAACAGAAGGAAATAAATGTGGGTCCTCAGCCCATCCTCAGCAGCCAGCGACCTGCGTTACATCACTAGTCCTACATTGCGGGCTACTTGTTGGAGAAATTGCTAGGTTCACACTGGCATGTAATAATAGATGTTCTTTGCCTGCAACAAATCAATAGCAAGCAGCTGTGGATCGTGCAGACAGTGGAGTGTGAAGCTCCTTTTCAGACAGTTTTCTGCTGGAGTGCCTGTTAAGCTGCACCATTGGCTATTGATTGGTCTTTTGCTTTTTGTTTATTGTGTGGGTTTATTTTTTTTAATGTAGGTTGGTGTATTGATTAAATCTGTTAAAAACACATTTCCCATTCAGGCTTCAGAAAAAATGAGCAATATATGCATTACTTAGTGTACAAACAAGGCAATAGACATGTGTATGTTCATTCTCTCTCTTGGGTCTATCTAGATACACTGGCATTATGTTGTGAGTCTGTGTTG